AAACCATTTCAGGTGACTACCTCTTGAAGCTCATGGAGAGAATGCCAAGAGTGTGCAAAGCAGTAATCAGAGCAAAGGGTGGCTATTTTGAAGAAACTAGAATATAAAACATGTTTTCAGTTATTTCACCTTTTTTTGTTAAGTACATAACTCTACATGTGTTCATTCATAGTTTTGATGCCTTCAGTGAGAATCTGCAATGTAAATAGTCATGAAAATAAAGAAAACGCGTTGAATGAGAAGGTGTGTCCAAACTTTTGGCCTGTACTGTATATGTATATATTACAACCGATTTGGTTTTTAAATTTTCAGATGGGGCTTCTGACATTTGGTGCAATAGAGAGCAAAAGCCTTATTTATCTCAATTGGGTCTGTAACTACAGTTTGAGGGCTTAAGTTGCAGTGCTAGCAGCTGACTGGCTTTGTTGCCATATTCATAGTAGGTACTCTTTGTGCGCCTTAGAAGGAGCTCTGCTTTATTCGTGGATATAAGATCAAATTCGGTTTGGAGTTTGAGTCTCTCCATCCGAAGACTAGGATTCAAAGAAGAGGAGTGCTGTCTGTCAATTTGCAGAATAGCTTCTATCAGCTCCGGTTGCCTTTGTTTTTCCTGCTTGCGTACACACGCGTTGTAAGAAATGATCTCCCCACGTATTACAGCTTAAAAGTTTCCCATAACAGGGAAGGAGAAACTGAATCAGAATTGTTATTTTGAATAAATAAGGAAATCTTTTCAGAAATAAAATTGCAAAAAAAAATTGAAGATAATAAACTAGTCTTCAGTCTCCAGTTTGGATGCTTTTCAAATTTAGAGACCAATTCCAAATCACATAGAATGGGGTGTGATCTGAGATAACTAATGCAGAATATTCACATAATGGAAGGAGTACTTTATCTAAAAAGAAGTAATCAGTGCGGGAGTGGGTCTGAAGCTGACCGACTTTTAAGCTTTCTTTGACACATCTGGTCATTGATTTATTGAATACTCCGGCTTGTGATATAAATATTTGAGATAATAGATGTCAGTATCTGTTAATGAGTCATCACCCACTTTGGTGTCACTCTGACCTATTTTTACTCTCTCACCCTCTCTTCCTGTCAGAAGCCAAAGAAGCCACCTCCACCATCAAAAAGCATAGGTAAGTAACACTTTCCACACTCCACCTCATTAAATGCTCTTACCAACACATGGTGCTGCACGATATGTCTACAGTGGAGGATAGTCCAACACTAGCTCACTGAATATTCAATAAATTTACTTTATACTTTTTAAGAATAGTAGAGTTGCACTGATGGGATCTGTAATAGTAGTATTGCATTTGTTGTTGGTTGCAGGCACAGCACATTTCATGGTAACTAATTACTTCATTAAAAATAAGTGTGGTTTCACTCAGCCTAACACATGAATGTCAGTACGGAGATTTGTAAGTTATCTTGGCTTAACAAAGTGGTTTTCTATCTATAGACTGGTTAACCACCATGCTACGCTATGATGGGCTGATACCACAGCTTGTGTGCTCAGTTAAGGGATAGTATTAGAATATAACGACTGAAAGTGCCAGTAGAACAGAGCAAGACTATAAAAATGGATATGACTCAGACTGAGAGCTGGAGAGCTAATAGAAGAAGAAGTTTAGAAAATGGTGGAGGGATCCCGATAGACTTTATGGTGGCTGGAAATATTTACCATATCCTGTTAAAAGAAGGAAGCATTGTGTGACTATCTGATAGTTGTTGCGATTGAAGGGTGCAACAGTTGCCTATTTAAATCACAAAGCCAAGTCATGCTAATCAGGGTTTTTGCTGTGCTCACTGAGTTCCGTTTTAGAATTTTTAAGGTATTTTTAATACCGCATAGGATGCAGTTTAACACCTTTGTCATCGTCACACCAGCCTAAGTACCAACCTGATTCTAAAAAAAGTTAGGACACTGTGTAAAATGTAGATAAAAACAATATGCATTGATTTGCGAATCCTTTTGACCCACATTCAATTGAATGCTGTTCAAAGACAAGATATTTAATGTTTACACTGATAAACCTGATTTTTTTTGTAAATATACACTCATACTGAATTTGATGCTGCAACATGTTCCAAAAATGTTGGGACAGAGGCAAGAAAAGACTGGGAAAGTTGTAAACTGCTGAAAAAACACCTGTTTGGAACATTCCACAGGTAAATGGGTTAATTGGTAACAGAATATAGTATCATGACTGGGAATAAAGGAGCACCCTCTCAAGTTTAAGTTCAAAGTTCAAAAGTTTTTATTGTCAATCCACAATATGTGCAGGACATACAGAAGAATCAAAATGCTGTTTCCCTCTTACCTAGTATTAATGGCTTACAATTTAAAAGCTAAAAGAAAGCTAAATTGGAATAATAATAATATACAATATAATACAAGTAAAAATAAACTAACCAGTATAACCTAATAGACAAGACACTCTAAAGATAATACAAACCTATGTACAATCAATGACGATGTGATGTACATGTAGTGCAAAAGACCAATAGCAGCAGATATGAAGTAGTGCAAATTATTAGCATGAAGTTAAGTGTGCAATGTAAAGTGTACAGACAGACAGTCAGCAGCAGTTTGTGATTCATTCAAATAAACACAAGAAGTTTGTGCTCTAGTGAATAACCTCCTAAGCCCTAGGATAAGCTATTATGGCAAGGCTTAACTATACAGACCAGTGAGCAGTGATAACTAACATGTCTTTGGGGTCATCGGGTGGGAACCTCCTTTCACCGGTGTTTCGTCTAGTTAGTCCCACGACACCTCCAGGAGGCTAGACAGTGATCTCTGGCGTCCCAGAGACACTCCCCTAATGCCAGGTCTCACTGCTCCCCACACTAACCGAACAACCTCCTTTACCTTACCTATACTACCACAGAGGAGGTAGACCCAGGGAAGGAAGCCTTGTTAGGCTATCACACTCCCCCGCCGGGTTAGGCTGTACAGTCTACCTCCCCAGGACGAGCCCTCACAACAATGACACCTCCAGGAGGCTGGACAGTGATCTCAGCCCAAACAGCACTGCCAACTTCAACCAAGCCCAGGCTCCGTTTATGCGAGCTCCAGGCAGAAGCAATGCTGATACTACCTTTACTAGCACATTCACCATACTCTATTTCACACGCTACATAGCATAACTACAATGTAAGCTAAAGTTAAAGGAGATAAATGAACTCACAGGATCAGCAAACACACTCACTTTGCAGCATGGTCTCAAACAAAATGGATTCAAATAGGCCACTCCCACACTTAAATAACCTTCCTCTTCCTGGATTTCCTTCTTACTTACACATGGCTTTCTCAGCCCAAACAGCACTGCCATCTTCAACCAAACCCAGGCTCCATACATGCGAGCTCCAGGCAGAAGCAATGCTGATACTAGCTTTCCTGTCACATTCACCATACTCTATTTCACACACTACATAGCATAACTACAATATAAGCTAAAGTTAAAGGAGCTAACTGGACTTACAGGATCAGCAAGCACACTCACCTTGCCGCATGGCCTCAAACAAAATGGATTCCAATAGGCCACTCCCACACTTAAATACTTCCTCTTCCTGGATTTCTCCTGACAGGAAGTGGATCTCTCCACCTGATCTCAAGGAGTTATGTGCCCTGCTTAGTAGTTCCCCCTGCTGGCCCCCAGCTGACATTATTTCTTCTGTAATAGATAAACTGGCTGCATTTAATTGCTTCATCTGACATTTCCCTCACTGTCTTCCTCAAATTCTGTCCCCGCACTCCGAGTTCCCCCAGGAGTGAGACAGTTGATCTTGCTATGAATCCCCTACACCCCACTTCCACTGGACAAATCCTAGTCTTCCATCCTCGCTGCTCAGCTTCTGCTCCTAAGTCTGCATATCTAAGCTTTTTTCTTTCATAGGCTTCTTCCACTGAGTCTTCCCAAGGAACTGTCAGCTCAATGAAATAAACTATCTGTTGACTCACTGACCACAACACTAAGTCAGGCCTCTGCCTGGTACAGACTATTTCCTGAGGAACAACAAGCTTTCCCCCTAAATCTACTTGCATTTCCCAATCACAAGCACCTTCTAGGCGGCCACACCCTTGCCTCCTCACTAACTTATCCCTTCTGTATTTCTCTCCCTCACGGACAAACTGAATTACTAAGCCCCTATCCTTAACACCTTCTGAATTCACCTGTCTTCGTTTCCCTTCGATGCCTGCAGCTAAACATTTCAACACCTGATTATGTCGCCATGTATATCGGCCTTGTGACAAGCTAACTTTACAGCCTGACAAAATATGCTTTAAAGTTGCGGTACGTGAACACAATGGGCATGATGGGTCCTCATTTACCCACAGTTTTAGGTTCTGGGGGGTTGGTAACACATCGTATGTAGCCCCTACCAGGAATCTAATACGATTCTCCTCCATACTCCACAGGTCCCTCCAACTAAGCTTCCTCTTCTCTACACTTTCCCAATTCAACCACTGTCCCTGTTTAGCCTGGGCCACTACCTTTGCACCCCTTACTATCTCTTCCTGTCTGCGTATCTGTTCTACAACCAGCTTTCTTTTATCTTTGAGGCCTGCTGTATTCCATACCGGTTTACCTGAGCCAAGCCCCAGGCCTCCCCGGCCAAAGTGAACATTACCTACAATAATATAACACTGGGGTATGGATGTAGTGAGACTATGTGCAAAACAGCAGAGGTAGTCTGTATGTGCAGTGGGTGGAATTACAATCCAGGGGCAGGGGGCAGAGGGGGGAGGTAGTGGATAGACATCCTGACAGCCTGGTGGATAAAGATGTTTGTGAGTCGTGTAGAGTAGGCCTGGAGGCTGCGGTACCTTCTCCCTGAAGGCAGGAGGCTGAAGTGGGAGTGTAAGGGGTGGGAGGTGTCACTAGCAATGCTGATACCTCTGCGGGTAAGGTGGGTGTTGAAGATGTCTGTGAGGGAGGGCAGAGGGGTGCCTTGCTGGCTGTATTCACTATGCGTTGTAGAGTCTTTCGGCAAGAGGCAGCGCAGCCTCTGTGCCACAAAGTGATGCAGCCAGTGGTAACACTCTCAATGGTGCCTCGGTAAAAAGAAAGGATGGGGTGAGGTTCACCACTTTGTGAAAAAGCTGTGTGGGCAAACAGTCCAACAGTTTAAGAACAATGTTTCTCAACACACAATTGCAAAGAATTCAGTGATTCCATAATCTACAATCCATAATATCATCAACAGAACAGGTGTCCCACATTCAAAGACAATGTCCTTGACCTCAGTTTCAATTCACCCTTCGCTAAGCCACGCCCCCGAAATGCAAAGTGAACAATCAATCACAGCACAGCATAGGAAAGACCGTGACGGACCTCAGACACTTTCATGGCAGCGCTCCGTTGACTACAGTGGAAAAGTTGCTAATTTTCATACATTTCGGTCTAGTTTTTCAGACTTTCAGCTTGCTAGGGTTAAACGCTGTGCACTTAATAATAGTAATAGTGACACTCGTTACCTGGAGAGTTTGGAAAGAGGTGTACGTTTTTTTCCTTGTCCAAAACCCAAAGTCACAAGTGTAGGCTGTGGATAAAACTATGTGGACGTCCTCAAACCCAGTTGAACCCCTCAAAGATCGACAGGCACACCTTTGTCTGCTCCAAGGTAAGTAATTACTTTTAACCGTAAAATAATGTAATGCTGTTTTTAGCAGATATTGACTTGTTAACCTAAATTATGTTAAGTTACGCTAACGTTACTACATGTGCATAGGCCATACTATGGCTAGCTAGCTATCCGCGGCACTAGCTAGCTTAGCCAGCTAAATTAGCTAACGTTAGACGTTGCTACAGTGACGGTCTGCAGCTCCGGGTTGCAACGTTGGTAAAGTTAGACTTTATTAACTTTGTTATTCGTAATCCAGCCAGTAAACCAAGTGGGCTATGTTACTTCTAGCAGACCAAGTGGGCTACGTTACCTTGATGTCAAAATGCAATACTATTTTTTCATTATTTCAGCACTTTGTCAATGGGCAGCCCATTACCGAGTACCAGCTCAGTGGCCTAGTGGTAGAGTGTCCGCCCTGAGATTGGGAGGTCCCCGGCCGGGTCATACCAAAGACTGTAAAAATGGGACCCATTGCCTCCCTGCTTGGCACTCAGCATCAGGG